CAAAGGATGAAATATTTAGGAATAAACGTAACCAGAGAAACAAAGGACCTATACAAAAAGAATTACAAAACACCACTACAAGAAATCAAAAGAGACTTGCAAAAGGGGAAGCGCATACCACGTTCTTGGGTAGGAAAACTCAACATCGTGAAAATGTCAATACTATTCCCCACCCCCCAAAAAAAATGTTCCTGGAAATTTTCCATTATCTTTGAATTCCATTGTTCTATGAACTTTTTGAAGGCCACTTGTATATTTGTCACACAAACATACAGACAGATTCTGGAGTTGAAACCAGGTTGCAAATATCCTTTTGCAAGAAAAGTGGAAAGGGCAAAGAACCTAGTAGTCCCCTCTTCTGCAACTGGCTTTTTGAGAGAGCTAGGCAAACCCTATACTGCTAGGCCTCAATTTTCTCATCTTTAAAATAGAGAGGTTGGACTGGTTTTTAAGAATCTTACCAGCCCTAGGAATGCAGTGCTATAAAATAAAGAGAAATGTGAACCTTGGTTGCTATGATCTGAAAATATTTTGAATGTAAAGAATCAAATTGTACAGCAGCACACGAACAAAATAATACGTTAATAACTAAGAAAATTGTATTTAATCCAATGAGAAACAGCAGAGAGCTGCTGCCACTGGTGTGCGTGTGTGCGTGTGTACATGGCTTCCTTCCTTGAACTCAAACATATATTTTAAATCATCAATATAGTAATCAGACCTCTGGCATGCGCGCGCACACTCAGGAGCGTGCACACACACAATTCAGATTAAAATAGGGAAAACAATCCACTGCAGCTGCTTACATTCTTTCTGTTTGGGTGGCTTCTTTTTTTAAAAGACATTTTTACAGTGGTGAAGGTGTTGGATTGACCGCCCCTGGAGACCTCTAATCTCAGAACTAGGGCTTGTTGGTGGTGAGGGGGGGTGGTTTAGTAGCATCTAGCATTCACAAACCAACTGTCCCCTCCCTTGCCATCACTATCCGTCCAGTCCCCACCCACCCCCGACCGGCTGGGCGAGTTCTAGGGGTTGGGGGCAGACCCTCGACTAGAGACGGTCATCTGGGGGGGGGGGGGGGGCGTCCCGGCCAGCCCACGTGCTCCGGGCCCTGTCTCCAGGAGGCGCAGGGAGGGGAGCGTTGGAGGGATTGAGAGTGCCCGCGCCAGCTGCTCCGCGGAAGGTCGCTGACCTCTTCCGCATTGAAGGATCATCCCAGAGCCCGGAGAGGGCCGGGGACACGACGCGGGTCTCTCCACACTGGAGTCTGAAACCCAGCGTACTGCAGCGATGAGGGTTCGGCCTCCGTCCCTGTCCGACGGCCGCGCCCACGTCGGGCCCGCGCGGATTGGGCGGCGCGCGACGGCGGGGCGGACCTACCTCCCAGCCAGGTGCTGCTGCCTCCCCTGGGCAGCTCCAGGTGCGGCTGCGGGAGCGGAGGCCGCGGCTGGGCGCCATGGCCGAGTCGCAGCTGATGTGCCTGGACGAGGCGCACGTGAACGAGAAGGTGACCGAGGCACATGCCGCCTTCTACTACTGCGAGCGGCAGCGGGCCGCACTGGAGGCGCTGCTGGGCGGAGGCGAGCAAGCCTATGGCGAGCGGGTCAAGAAGGAGCAGTTGCGAGACTTCCTGTCGGGCCCCGAGCGCCAGGCCCTCCGCGCTGCCTGGAGCCCCTATGAGGACGCCGCCCCCGCCGCCGCCTCCCGCGGCAAAGCCAAGGCCAAGGCCCAGGCCCCCGCGCAGGCCCACGCCGAGCCCGCTGAGTCCCTGGCCTACTGGCCCGACCGCTCCGACACCGAGGTGCCCCCGCTGGACCTGGGCTGGACCAACACCGGCGCCTACCGCGGCGTGAGCCGGCTCCTCCTCTTCACCCACCCGCCCAAGGAAGAGAAGGCGCCTCACCTCAAACAGGTGGTCAGGCAGATGGTCCAAGAGGCCCAGAAGGTAGGCCCCGCCGCGCCCCTGCCCGAGGGGACCCCCACTTAAAAGCCTGGGCCTGAGGCAGCCGCCCTAACAACTGCTGGAAAATGAGCTCTAAGCGCCCGCGTGGGCCGCCGGAGTGGATGGACATGAAGTTGTAGGGCAGATTGACAGGGTCTGGGGGTACTGTTTCTATCGTCGTGTTATTTCTCTTTCCCTAGAGAAAAGAGTGGGAGCTGTCAGGCCCCTTGGGAAAATGGGCACTGATAATGACCTGTGTACTGCGCGGTTTACCAAACACTTCCGCTGCCATTTATTCTTGTGATCTTCAAAACAACCCCAGCAAGTGAAGAAGGGACACCCCACCACTCCCAGTCAAGACTGACCTCACATTCTCATTTCCCTCCCCCCATCATCCCTTCCTCCCCTCAAGCAACCTGGGATGAATACCCACTGCCACCCAGTCGATTCACACTCTAGGACAGAGTAGAACCCCCTAGGAATTCTGAGCTGTAAATCTTTACAGGAGCAGATAACCTTGTTTTTCTCTCAAGGATCCACTTTTGTGGGTTGGAACTGCTGACCTTGCAACTAGCAACTCAACTCCTAGCCCACTGCTGGAATGAATAAGGAAACATATTTTGAGACTTGCTGCTCCCATAAAGATTAATAGTCTCAGAAACCCTGTACAAGGTTGCTACAAGTTGAACTGGCTCAATGGCACACAACCAACCACTACCATCACCACTGCTACTGCTGCTAACCAAAAGGGCAATGATTCAAGCTCACCAGCCTCTCCACCTGAAAAAGATGAGACTTTTTGGCTTCTGCTAAGATTGACAAGCTTGGAAACCCTAAATGGGGTTGCTATGAGTTGAAATAGATTCACTGGCACTTAACTATGTGCCTAGGTACAGTGCTAGGCACTTTATCAAGGCAAGTGGCTGGACTGAATACTTAATACTTCACTTAAAAGTGAAAGGAAGAGACACTTCCAGGGTGACTAGTTAGAATACCTGCAGGACCAGTAGTAGGTTGGGGAGCTGGGGCAGGGAGGAGTAACCTTTACTCTATGCCCTTGGGACTAGTTTCCTTCCAGAAAAATGAAGGACTCCCAGTTATATGTGGATTTCAGATGGTGGGGTGATGGTGGTTTGTCATCCAGTTGGTTCCAACTCCTAGAGACTCTGTATAGGATTTCTGAGGCTCTAAATCTTTATGGGAGCAGAAAGCCTCATCTTTTTCCTGCAGAGCTACTGGTGAATTCGAACTGTTTACCTTGTGGTTAACAGCCCAAAGCGTAACCCACTATGCCACCAAGGCTCCTTCTACTAAAATACTAGAAAAGAGAGATGGGTTTTTTATTAGCAGAATCTTTATTGGTTATCAGAACCTCAAATTTAATTGAGCATTCTTTTTATTAAATCAAGCTACTTACTGTGAGACTTGTTAAGAAAAACCAGCAGCCTTTGGTGCCCAATTCAGAATGTAGGACCTCAGGGGCTTGGGCTCACTGTACTAAATCAGCTCAGTGCATGTGGTTGGATTCCTGTTACCCCTGGAAGAGGGAAGATTAACCATGGGGAGATTAATGGTGGGACACCCTTCTTCCCCACCCCCACCCCCCCAAGGAGGAAACAATCTTAGCTGTTGACTGGACTGACAGCTTGAAGGAAAGGTTTAGGTTAACTGTCCTTATTTCCACCCTGTGTCTCTAAGTCATTCTTCTTTGTCCGACTGAACATTCTTTGTAAGTTGCATTCTGCATCCCAGAAAGGCAAGTTTGAACACAGAGGGAGGGGAAAGGGAAGTGGATGGCAATACTGGGCATCAGGCTGCAGCTGGGGTCAAGTCTCATAACAGGGCCTCCATTTATTTAGCATGTAATGTTTATCTGCCACTGTGTTAATCATTTACTTTTTATTATACTCATTTTTTGCAGCCACCAATAAGATAGGTATTTTCTGTATGTTCACTAGTTGTCAACTTGATTCTGACTCATGGTGATTCCATGTGTATCAGAGCAGAATTGTGCCCCATGCCTGACTTTTCAGGGACTAGATCTCCGGGCCTTTATTCCCAGGTGCCTCTGGGTAGACTCAAACCTCCAACCTAACCTTTTGGTTAGCACCCAAGCATGTTAACCATTTGCCCTACAAAGGGACTTCTTTATGTTTGGTGAAATCAGGATTCATAACAGTTACGTTACTAACCAAGTTATATAGCTAGTAAGTGGCAGAACTGAGATTCAAACACCAAAGGCCTGGCTTTTAACTACTGGGATATCCTGCCCTGCTGTCTGACGTGCTGGTGCAGTAGAGTTAAGACAAGGAGTTGACTGGAGCTGGCCTGGCCATCAGGGGCTGTGTATTCCTGTTACAAAAGCCAGAGGCTGGACCCCTGCCAATTGGGGCTTCTAATCCCAGGAGGCCTGGTGTGGTGCTGTGGGTTAATGCGTCAGACTGCAGAGCCTTTTAAACTGCAAGGTCGGCAGTTCAAGTTCACCAGCTGTTCCTCAGAAACCTTACACAGGGTCTCTATGGGTCGGAATTGACTCAATGGCACTTCACATCAACAATCCCAGATGGAGTGATGGGATAGAACTCTTTTATCAGGAGATGTTCTCGTCTCTTTAAATATCCAATAGGAGAAACTTTAACCATTGTGAACCAATAATATTTATAACAAAACAAGAAAAACCCTAAAAACCTGTTGATTCCAGTTCATGGCTACTCTATGTGTTAAAAGTAGAATTGCTCGATAAATTTTCTTTACTTCATTTTACAGAAGCAGATTGCCAGGTTCTTCCATGTGCTGCCAGGTGGGTTCTGGCTGCCAGTCTTTCTGGTGGCAGTGGAGGGTAAGCAGTGTGCCCCACCCAGGGACCTGTTAACCTGCAGTTCTTTCCTCAGTGCCTACTGTGAGCTAGCACCAGCTACACAAAGGATAGATAGATATGTAGAAGCAGTGGACTTGGTCCTCCAAGCACGTACACTGCGGTGTGGGGGAGGATCTGCTTGATGGAACGACAGTTTTTAAGGCTGGATGTGCGTCATCTGAGAAGGTGCCTGAGGGGGAGGTGCATTGCAGGATTGGAAGGGAAAAGTGTTTGTCAGTGAGAGAGTCAGAAGCTGGAGGTTGAGCACATTGGATTGCCCAGAACAAAGAGTTGTCTTGGTGCAGCTAAGTTCTGTGTGAGGGCTAGGGTCCCTGCAAGTGACCACCAGCTGGAAGAAACAGCTTTGGACCCTGTTCTGTTCACACCCATACCCACCTCCCAGGCCCTCTGGACCCCAATCTTGGCACTCTGATTCATTGCCCCTCATGTCTTTCTGTATAGTACCTTCTTTTCAAAGATCCTACCAAGTAGGTAGGACAGAGCACTTGGCCCTATTTCACAGGCAAAGAAACTGAGGCACAGAGAAGAATAGGGGCTTGCCCAGAAGTCATGTGCTTGACTAGAGCAAGAACCCAGACAAGAACTCAGACTCTCAGCTTCTGTTTACAGCTGTGTCCGTCCTCTGACCTCCACTGCCTGTCACTGCCCTCAATCCTGCTTGTCCAACTGGCATGCAGCCCTCATGTGACCAATAAATGAGATCTTTCCTCCTTCCTTTCCACCCTGAGGGGGAGAGTTTCTTTTCTCCCCTCCGAGCCTGGCTGACTGGAAGCTGGGTGGAGCATAGCAGGATGGGAGGGGAGGAAGAAGGACATGTTCACCTGAGTGGCTGTGTGCCAGGTCATGCTTTATTCATCTCATTTAAAACCCACAATCGTTTTGATTCCCAGTCAGGAGCTAAGGCCCAGAGGCGTTGCTGTGACTTGTCCACAGTGCGAGTTCCACACCTGGCCCTCCAAGTTAAGGAGCAAGGAGAAAACCCAACCAAAGCCACTGCTGACTCTGAGCAACTGACAGGACAGAGTGGAACTGCCCCATCTTTCTTCTTGGGAGTAGCTGGTGGGTTCCAACCTCCAACTTGTTAGTTAGCAGCCTCGTGCTTTAACCACTGTGCCACCAGGGTTCCTTTGGAGCAAGGAGAGAAGAACTTAATTATGGGGACACATTCAGACCATGGATTGGGGAGGAGAGGCTGAGAGTGGTCGGCGGCATGAAAACCTGGGTTCAAACCATGGTTGGGGAGGTGGAGGCAGAGTAAGGCCTCTGAAGAGGCTGTGTGTCCAACTTCTTGCTCTGGGCCTCTGAAAATGGTAGAAGGCCCTCCTAGGCCGGCTCTGGATAACCTGCAATCAAACATTGTACATGTTTACTTGTGAGGTGGGGACTTTTCCTGCGGTTTGTTTGCTTTTCCCCTGGAGTTATCTGATGACTTTTTCAGTGTAAACTCCAGGCAGAATGGGTAACTTCAGTGACTCAGAAGTGAGCTCTTGGCCTGGCTCTTGCTCATAGAAAATAGTGAGGGAACTTCTAAGGTCATTGTAGCTGCTAGCGAATCGACTTCAATACAAGACTTTGTATAGACTGGGGAACTCTTGGTTCTTTTGTACAAAGCCCCAGAGTGAGTGAACCAAACAACCAGGATCTGGGTCGGTGGGAATCTCAGAAGGACAGCGCATCCTTCTGGCCACTCAGCAGAGAACGTTGACGTAGAAAACACATATAAAACCCATCTCTGCTCTTCCCTTGCCTAATAGTCTAGTCAGCTAAGCTATTGTTATAATATAATATGATGAGTGCTTGACAGAGAATGTGGTGTGGGGAAAGACAAGGGGACATAAACCCAGCCCCTAAACCCGGTTAGAGCAGGACCTATGATGCTTGTCTGAAGTGACAGGGATGGTGAGAATGCTCACCATCTGTCCATCTGCATGCCCAGCCTCCCTGGTGTCCTCCCTTGAGGCTGCTGGACAGGTCCCTAGGTGGCATAAGCTATTTACATGAGACCACAAATGTAGAGGTTGGTGGTTTGAGCCCACCAGTGGCATCAGAAAGGTCTGGCAGTCTGATGCCATAAAAGTGGTGGTTCAGTGCTATCAAGTCCGTTCCAGTTTACAGAGACCCTGTA